CTCAATATTGTTCAAATAGAACTATTCATTATGAATCAGGCTTGTAATAACCACACTCAATGAGTCTCGGTATGCATTCATTCCTTTAAATTGTCCTATGAATTAAGGTGTGTTCATGCAGGGTTAAAAAGCTGTCCTGAAATTCACAAAAGATTTGCTTTAAAATTTATACAATCGTTGCACAGATCGCCAATGCCATGTTTTGTTATAATATTTGCTAAATTTCAACGCTCACGTCTCAATGGAATCGGAGAAATGTAAGCAGCACTGCTAAATCGTGCAGGTTTCAGGGTTGTGAAAAAAATGAAAGTAAGTCTACGAACTCCTCCAGTTAAAGCAACCAAATCGAGGTTCACTGTATGTTTCCTGGCGAAATTCCTGTCTGCTCATCTCTCCGCCTTCTTATCTACTGCTGCTGGTGCAGCAGCGGCAAGAGCAGTAGCAGTAGCAGAAGCATGAGGAGGAGGAGGAGAGGCGGTGATGATGACAGCATTAGCATCACCAGAAACAGCCAAAAACATCTGTTCACTAACTAACCATGGGTGACAATTGGTGAATTTCGGCTCACTGAGCGTGTTACACTTGAACGCGTAGAAAAACGCTCGCTAGAGGTTTCACCACCGGTCCTTCATTGATCAACCGGATTAAGGTAGCATGCTTTTTAAAAGCACTGAAAGGAAGGCTTTGATTAGCACAGATTAGTTTGTGTGGAAAAAAAAACAGAGATTTCACTTGGTGGTCCATATTGCATGTGCACTGAACGAGTTCAAATGGAGAGCAATTCCCAGAGTATGAAATTTTACATCACCTGGCAGGTGTTCTGAATAATAGCAATAAGTGGTAATAGTACAAAACTTTACTCGAAAGAACTTGAGATGTTTGTTTATGAAAATATATGAGTCTTAAAACAAAAAATAACCCAAATATGGCAGTTGCATTTCTGTTTGTGTTCATTAAAGCATTACTTGGAAGATTTCCAGGTAATGCCCACAAAATGAGCTGTTCTGCAAATGCAAAGTTGGTAGATCACTAAAGCATCATCTGAAATAAACGAGCAACAAATGGCAACAACTTAATTGTAGCTGTGAAGACTGCACGCTATTCACCAAAGCACTTTATAGAGACGGTCAATTGGTAATTTGTTGCACATCCCCCTTACAGTTCAAATATTAACGCCGCATTCATTTGCATGGAATTATATCACTTTAAAATATACGCATTTAAATCAGAACATGCATAGCAGTAAGAACGTGCTTGATTTCTGTAAACTTGTGAGAGCCTTTCTTAAAATAACTTTTAAGAAAATAGTCTATAGTTGTTCGGGGTTTCGATTCATACTTTATGGTTCAGCGGTTATGTGAGCAGATTACACCATCAGAAAAGGAAAACGAATTTGTTGAGAAGTAGCAGAAGGGACCACCTACCATCATCGCCGCCACCCGCTTCGTCTCCGCGGTGGTCTTTAGAGAAGACGACTTCAGTAGCAGCCAACTCAAGGATGGCTGATGTGGTTATGTGGAAAAGGCTACGTGCTTCGTCCCTTGCTAACTTCGCCGCTGTCACAGCACGCGCCAACAGCTCTTGTTGCTGTTTTCTTCTACTTGTTGAGGCCGTCACGAAGGTTTTCTAGAGGTATCATCAAATCTCAACGTTAGCTCTGTACCCGTTTATGCTTAACACTCAGTCATTTGTCTCTTAACGCATATATCTTTCTTCGAGGCTTGAAAAACCTGAGATTGCTTGCTTTTTGGTTTGCAAAGACCACCCGAAAATAAAACATCCTGATCTTTACCACCGTCACAAATAAACCTACTTTAATTGCCACACACCAGAAAAAGTAAGGGTAAGCAAATGCAAACTGATCATTTTGTCGTTGATTTTGGTGTCCACTTGAAAGAGTGGCAACCTCTTGACAATGGTTGCAGTGTGTGACACTAGATAACTTCATAATCGTTGATGTTCATTATTTTAAACACGCACATACCCTTTGGCCCTTTACTGTCTGATACACATGCCTAAGTAATTTCGGTAGCTAACCATTTTGGTCAGGGAATCCAGATTGTGAATGGACTCACAGTGGCCTCGTTTTGTTTGAGTTGTACCTCCTCTGCCGAAGTACCCTTTCGGGTCTCCCAGGCAGGATCTGGGACTTGAACGGAGGGATTACCAAGAGTGGGAGAGGGCAGGACGTACTCGATCAGCGGTGGTGGAACCTTCAGACACTGGCTTGCACCTTCTTCTAGACGTGACCAAACCTGCTGTCGCGCTGTCCATAGTGCTCGGAACCTAGGGTTACCCTCGCAACGATAAGACTTCAACAATGCAACTTTTGATCAAGTGATGCTCATTTAAATTGTTCTGCTCAGGAAAAAAACGAAAGAGACATTTTAACTTTGCACAAATAGTAAAAGGTCATGTATAAACTCAAGTAAACGAATATTTGTGAAAAAATACACAGGCATTTGAACGAGGATGAACCATTCACCTTAGAACGGCATTTAGACGACTATTCAAGTCCACATGTTGAAGTTCTGCATACAGAAGCTTCTGAACGAAGGCAGGACATTTCACAGCAGCAAATAGAATTAGAGAAGCTAAATAAGCATAAAAATAGGTTTAATAAAAATAGATATAAAGATGGCATCACTGGCGATAGTTTCTCATACCAGCACTGCTGGTCAGTTCAGGATCGGCTTCCAGTAGCAACTCCCAGGCGAGTGGGACCACTTCCTCTAATTGTTCCGATGAAAGTAGAAGTGCTCCTTTGTTGAGAAGGTTGAAGAAACTGCTGCGCAACGACTGGACCTACGATCAAAGCAGAAATACCTGCTGCATTTATGTGCTTCTTCGTTGAAAGGCACCCCTATTTCTCCATAAATGACAGTGTTCTAAGCACAGTTATTACGAAAAATGTCAGACGTATTTTGCTAGGGAAAGTGAACTCAAAGTGCTTATGAAAACGGCTGAGGTTAAAAGGAAAGCACAACGCTTTTCACGAATCGTCTGGACTATTCATTCTAGCCAGAGACTGCCTTTTTATTCATCCTTTTGGCTGATGCACTCCACAAAGAATTCTGAAATTTCAATTCTACTAAATCATCACGAAACAAAAAAATAAGTACCCAAAGGTAATAGTAACTCCTTCAAACATATTTTACTAAGTATAATGTAATAGACTTTGCGAGTAGAAGGAGGTCGTAAAGGACTGTTTAGGACAATAAGATATTATTTTTAATGATAAATGGCATCCGGAAAGGTCCGAGTCTAAGGCAATGAATAGAATTGAGAGAATCGATGCAAGTGCTCCTAAAAGTAGGTAGCAAACTTGGTCTTATGCAAGCCCTAATTAAAGAGTCTGAATTCTAGTGGCTGCGCAAGACTTGCCAAATACGAAAGCTTTGCATGAACCTTCCTTCTCATCAAGGGTAAGGTATTAATCACTCCTTCCAAGTGCTATTATCGCACTCGGATGGTATCTCACGTCTCGCATGGCCTAGAACCTTGCAAAATTCACGAGAAATAAACTAGAAGACGTCTCAAATAGGTGTTAACTATGACACGGTCTCACTTCCATTGCTACGAAGAGCGTGAACCGCCGTAAAAATGGACCTCAAATCGAATGTGAAAAGGATTTCTTTAAAAGTTTAATATTGAAGGTGTGCCCTTAAAAGCCATTTTAAATATAAATCCAATGGAAATTGGGATGGAACTTTACAATGCGAATGCTCCAACACCCAAATATCATTTTCATGCCAATTAATTAAGCATTCCGTTTCGGGACACGTGACGTGAAAGATCTTGTCGATGAATTCCGCAGGCACATGAGGAAAACAGGGACGAGCTGACAGTAGCAGTTTGTAAATCATCCACAGAGGTGGGAATGCTGGTGTCACATTAATCACAACTTTTCATCAGTCAATCCACGAGACATTCACCATCGGTTATGCATGTTTCCAATTCAAATAAAGCCGTGTTTTTCCATGCAACTGCTAAAAATGATAATTTTCTCAGTTGATAGAGCTGAAATTAGCTACTCTTGAATCTAAGCCATTTAACAAAACCTAAACCTGTAACTTTAATACATTTGGGTGGCAAGAAGCTTAAACTTCAAATAAGACTTTCTTTAATAAAGTCCAATTTACCCAAATTACGTTGGTTTGTGTTTCGAAGGCATTAATAATGGCCACTGAGAGTTATAACTACCTGAGTATCCAAGTACATAAGTTCGGGCGAATCGGTTTGATGAGCTAGAGGTCGGACTTTGGTCTTGCCAAGCTCAGCTTCCTCCGATTGAGCATCGTCACCTTCGACGGAGAGTGTGGTTCCGTTTGCCAAGCCACTCTTCACTGCTTCTAGCAATCGCACCAGAGAAGGCGACGAGTTTGCCGCTGTGAGACCCGTCCCTGCACCTGCTAGAAGGCTAAGATTCATGAGGCTTGAGAGGCCTCCAGGACCACAGAAACCACCAGCTCCGCAATCGTCAGAGGCACCCGCTCCAGAGCCCCGTTTTGGTGTGCCTTTACGTCGAAACCGGTCAAAGATGGGAGTGGTGGCTTCTCGCCAGCCTGACGTAAACACCGAAGATTCCTAAAGCAAAATAGACTGCTTATAGACTTGCTTCTAACTTCATCCTCCTCTCACTGATATCTGACAGCAAAAACGGCCTGGCTTATTTTTTTGAGTGTTTCACAAAAGTGACACTAACAGCTGGAGTGAAGGATTCACGATATTCATTATGGACATCAAGAGGATCTTGCCCCACAAAGAATAACGATTAGTTGTTACTTGCGTATAGGTATCAGTTGTATTTAAATAGTCATTCTAGCGCGTGCATACATACTTATGAAATCATGCGCTTCTAACTCAAACGCATGCACAGCTTCCAATTTAGTTAGACCTTCATCCTCGTCGGATCCATGGTCATCATGCCTGCTAAACATACCTTTGTTTCGGAGGCCTTACAACGTGCGTTACATAACGCCTTATAAGCTGTCAACCATAAACGTTTAGTATCAATCCGTTCATCAGGTGTTTCTACTTGAAGGTTCTAGAAGGGCACGAAACAAGGGTAGCTTCAGTTTTTGACTGATCTATAGACTGAAATTACATTAAAATAGCGTTAGTCTTAAATGTCGCCCAACTGTTAAGTGACACTGTTTAAAAATCATACCGGCAGGACAATCTAAACTAACCTTTCTTTTGGTATTTCTATTAAATAAAGCATTTCTTTTATCCTGATGATCTCGTCCCCCAAAAACACGATGTAGGATAGATGCAGAAGTTTCCAACTCCGAATCACCACCAACGACCCCGAAAGCACTCGTAGGAGCTGGACCAGCTCCCCTTAGGAGTGGAGTAGGGTTAAGGGCGAGTCGAAGGAGGTCCTCTAGTCCGCCGTTTCCCACTATGTCCTGATCGGAGTCATTAACCTCATCTGAGTAGCCAGACTCCTCTTCTTCATTGCCAGCTCCACCAGCACCACTAATAGAGTCCGAGGTGCACTGACAAGACGGCCCGCCGCCATTACCAGAGCGCACATCTGGGGTGACGATAGTGTCGCCCACTGTTCCGCGAACTCGCCGACCCTCCGGCAGCTCGTCCACAGATCGAATGAAACTGGACTCGGTAGTAGATGAATATACTTGCCGAATAGCTTGAAGAAGTGACCGTAATTGCTGCTGCTGACGGTCAAAGCAATTGGCTTCGCAGATGGGCTGATGTTTGCAGCCAAAAGTTGTCCTTCAAGGAAACCATTTCAATGACTCAATAATCAAAGTGGATGAAGGTTAATATTTAACGTACACATTTAAATGTCTTTTCAGATTGTCATTCACTTCTGATAGAATCAGTGACTTTCAATGTAGAAACGGAATTGCCGTCAGTTGCCATGAGCAGCGTACACAGATGAATTGGTTCGCATTATTTACAATTCCATTGGAAATTGTGTCAATTACCCAAAATTGCACGTCATGTAAAAATTAATCAGAGCGAACAAATGAAACGTATCTTACGAAATTTTTCTGGCTTCAGTAACTAGGACGAGAAACAATTAGTGCTGAGAACACAGACATACACATAGTGCTGAGAATACAGACCTTTTCGCAAAAGCAATAACAGCTGGTATCCATGGCATGTTGGATGAGTAGAAGTCAGCAACAAGGGTCTGGTTTTGGGTGCGCGAGGAGGATGAGCGAGAGGGATCGCGCACTGCACCAAGGGAAGTGCGACGGCGGTCACGGCGGGGTGAGCGTTTGTTAAAGTCAAGTTCAGCATCGGTCTCAGGACAGGCGAGCGCCTCGCCACTTTCAGAACGCCGTCCTCCGACGCCGGCCGATGAAGACGGCTCAGGGCGAAGGCTGGTAGAGGCAGATGACGACATCGGTGGAGCGTGACGGCTTGCACGAGTCCCATAGGCTCCGCCCGCTCCATCGTCAAGGCTGGCATCTGGAGCCCCGCCACTATTCACTACACCTTCGCCTCCACAGGTGCTGGCACGTGATGACATACGACGCAAACCTGGAGAATCACTTGGACTACTTAAACTACATCACAATATGAGCTCAGGCCCTCCATTGGCATGGGTTGAGTAGAGTTAGAGCTTTGGTTATTTTAATCGTGACAGTTAAAAGAGATTGAATGTTAGTTGCTATATCAGTAAATAAGGGATTTTCTGCCACCAGACTCAAAGGGTTGACTTTTTGACATCTTCTAAGATGGGCATGACTGATTTCTCTCGATTCAACAAAAAAAAGGTCGCTCAGGCAAAAATATTAAGCATTTGAACCTCCAAGTCCCAGTGTTGCTTCATATTACCAAAACTCTAAGAAAGGCTCTCCTTTTCTATATACGGATGCACTTGATTAACAAAAGACTCTAGCTGGCCTGCCAAATTTTCTGCTCTATGCGTTGTAAAGGATCAAATTAATGGATCAAATATCTTGGTACTTATTCAAATCATAAGACACATAAATAGAAACCAACGTATCCAGTTTTGAAGCTATAGCGAGATGATTAAGGTAGCTGGCGAGACAGTCGTTGGATGTTTGAGTCAGAAAAAGGTACCTGGTCGTATGCCCAAGCATAACGGAGACTCGAGAGGCATTTGCGTGCGCTCACTGACAGATGCAAGTCGATCAACGAATTATTTCAGAACCTCCTCCTTATTATTGAAGACGAGGGGTCTATGAAACGCTAATGTTAACGTTAACCTTGGCCACAAAATTCAAAATTATGAAAAACCATGAAATCAAGGCCAAAGCGTTCGGTGAAGCCACTTTCCTGAACCTGTCTGCAAAGCATTTACTTTTGTCGTTATTCAACTATACGGCAAAGTTAAAACAAATTTGGAATCTTTGGACGTTTTCATCTTCCACAAAATGTGATGCAGCGACGATTGTTCTCGAATGGAAAGACAGTTTCAGGACATCTGGGTGATAAATGTTTAAAAAGCGCCTCCATACGTGGAATATATGGTCTTAACATTGCATAACTTTCCTGACTTCATCGGGCTTGATACTGACAACCCCCTTCCTTTACTTGCCATGAATACATGACTATGTTTTTTTTTTCGGAAAGTACTAAGCGTACTGGCAGAAGGCCTGGTCAACTCTGCCTGGCGTGACCTGCACTGCAAGGTCACAAATGGGGCTAAAAGGCAGTGTGCACGCATATGCAAGCGGGTGTGCGGGTGTGCTGGTGGACAAGAAGGTGGGGCAAGCCGGCGACATTGCCGCCATCGCGGCTGATAACACTGCTGTCCTGTCCTTCCTGCATGATCATAAAGCTGAGGACATTATGCTACCTGACTGATCGGTCAATTAGTTGAAATCCTGACGTCGAAATGAGGCGAAAATTTGCCCCTTATTCCCACCTACTGCCTTCACTCCAAGCCTTAAAATGGAAATGAGATTAACGTAGGGGAAGACTGGCTACATTTTATCTAGCATTAAATCTATGATGTCTTTCTTTATCCCTGTGAACGCTTAGAGGGTTGGCCGTTTGTGAGAGCAAGAACATGAATGACAGCCCATGATGGGGACTTGGAGGTTGTTCATTTAAATTTCCTCATGCACTGGCCAAAAATTTCTATGCACGAGGCACACAATTTCCATCTCCTTCTAAAGTTAGCCTCTCTCTCGCCTGATTTTGGACAATTTTGATTTCAATTGTGCTATGAAAGCGGAATTTGGATGACAAAGTGGGGAATGCCACATAAGCTATTGTCTCGTACAATGTTTAATGGAATGGTTCTGATGCTTTTATGGCCAAACTGCTTGGTACTGGTTCAGAGAATTTTCAGAAAGTTTCCGCAAGCAGCCTTTTTATTGAATTTTAGAAGATGCGCCCCTTTTTTGGTGAATATTCAGCCACATGGATGTAAGCTCCGCAAGAAATTGATGCGAATATTCAAAACTAAGCGAATGCCTTTCAGAGCCATGGTTTGTTGAAGCAGTTTATCTTTACCACGATAGTGTGCTCAAAGTGGTAGGAGAAAGGGAGGAAACGTCAGATGAATAAGTTGGAGAATGCAATACCATTTCACGTAAGCTGACAAAACAAAATAAGCGAAAATGTGTCCTTAGTTTTCTTCTTACCGCCTTCGGCTTTCGCTGACCTAGGGTTGTTCATAAGAGAAGAGAGTTGGAAGGACTGGCGGAAACTTCCAGAGCGCTGCCGTTTTCGAGTCAAGCTTTTTGATACAGACTTGCGTACTACAATAGATGGCAATGGAATAAGTTGAGCATATCTGGCAACCGTAGTAAGAAAGACTTCAAACTCATTGGTGAAAACGACGAATAGATATTTATTGAAATTGTAGAAAGCAGGAATTTGTCTAAGCCTGTCCAGAGGTGTGCTTCCCTCAGTCACAGAAAGTGCTGCCTGTTGATACGCCTGAATGATCCGCTAAATCTCAATTCTGATCCTTTGGAAAAAAATAGAGGGTTTGTGAAAAAGTTGACCAGGCAACTAGTTAGAATATACGCGCTCAAACTTCTCTAGAATTATGACCATGGTAGCTGAAGCAAGTGAGACAGAAAGTTGTCATGCCTTTACCTTTGGTTACAATGTCACCGTCTTCTAACAATGCTATTTACGTAAGTTATGACCTGTTAAATACCTATTGTCTCGAAATAATAATGGCGATGCTCAAGGTATTTGTTCAATTTCCACCTCATAATACAAAAGTTTTGCAATATTTACAAACGCGCCCAGGAATTACCTCCATGTTCAATTTATTTTCTAATCTTACTTCAAACGAATTCGCGCCTGAGTAACTGCAAGTGTCATCTCATGTTTCCAAATAGAGAGTGTACATTTGCTTAACAGACCAATCCGAAAAGCCAAAAGATGTTTTCCACAGCCTCCTATCCCCAAACTTCATCCTTCATTAGAGGTGAAAACAAATAGCTGTTATAAAGACAGTCAGTAATGAAACCAGGAGTGATAGAGAATGACAAGTAATTGGTGCGGCTTGGAACGAACCACAGACATTGCAGATGCTTAACTTTCCGTTCCTGCTACCACAACTGCCAGTCCTCAGTGACCTCATTCCCGTAGAGTAGACTAAAACTTACACTAACATATGTGAAAGGTATGAGTATATTAATGGCAAAGCACTTGGCTAGTTGACTCTTGAGTAGGTCTGGTTGGCTCATTTTGAAGGACTGCAGCGATAGTCCTAAAAGTGCTCCACCGATTGCAAAATCAAGGAGCATTAACACATGTAGATGATTTCCGA